TTGCTACAAACACACTGATACCTGCTTCCACTATATAAATGCATCAACCAGGTTCTTGTTGTTTTCTGCTAAAAGCTTTTCTTACTAGTTTAGTAAAGTCTGCAAGGACAGTAACGGTTACACTGTAATACAATACATGAATGAATTGGCAACATCACTCAAAATCTTCTGGACATCGTCCAAATATTTACCCGTTTTGGTACATTAATACATCTGAGGGGTTTTCTTGTTTATTCTCCTACTTGGAAACTTTTAACTTGACTGTTATTAAATTATCACGATTACAGAAAGTATTAAAATTGACAAACCTGTGGAGAGTTTTCTAGTTTTCTGCTTTAATAGATGTTAATTGTTGCAATGTGTAGTTAAAAAGACTGTATGCCAACAGCAGTGGTACCAGTGCACATCTGGCTTATTGGAAGAAAGAGAGACGCCGTGTCATCAGGTCACCACCATGACCCCTTCAAATGCATCAAAGGTCTACGGCGTAGTCTCAGGCGTGATTACACCGTAAACAATGCTCTCTGCAACAACAAACATAAAACACTTATAACAGCTGATGAGTGTGTTGAGTTTAACAGCCTGGAAGTCGAATTCAAAAAAACCTGCAGCTAACTTCAGCATTTCTGCTGGCAACATATAAGAAGCCGCACAACGTCTCTGAACCCTCGGTATGTAACCAGTAATAGTCCACTACTACTCTTTAATTCAGAAATGTGACATCCTCAGCATTTTCACTGAAAAGTTGAGCTCAGAGCTTCAAGCATTAGTCCGTCCTGATTGAGGAAAGTCTCGTCTCCTTAATCTACTTTGGAATCTGTTTAACTGTCAACAGTTTAAACAAAAAACACCAAACAGCTGCACATTTAGCAGGAAGCAGTAGACAACAGCTGAGTGAATAAATGGAGTGTTGCATTCTTATTTTACTGGTCGATGTTGTTTGTTAGAGCAATCTGCAACAAGGACAGACACTCAGATCATCGAACAACTAACAGTAACAGGGTCAAAGGTCAAAGGCACAACCTCCCAATAAGATACTACAACAAGGTCTGCAGCACAAGCTGTAATTTACTCCCATCATCCATCAAATGCAGATCCAAGTCTTGAATCCTTGGAGAGTTTGTAATCTCGTCTGTGAAGGTCTGGCAGCGCACAGTAAGTATCCTCTACTGGCAACAAACAGCAGTGTTGTGTCTCAATCTGCACAGATCATAACAAGCAGAACATGCTAACAGAAAAGTGAAATGCTCTGTGGGAGAAGCAACAGTGATGGAGTGAAGTTGGGCTGGGCTCGCAACCAAAACCACTGAAACCAACCAAAAACTGAAACCACCGCTGCTATAAAAACCTGGAAGCATCACCACACAGATATGAGCCGCCTGCAGATAATAACACAGCAGCTACAGCCAGGCGATGCTGTTTATACTCGCACAACGTTCGTGGACGTATAATCGTCACACTTGAGTCAAGGCAAGGTTAGATAAGCACTCTGCAAACCTGTCATTATGCAGTACAACATGCAAAACGTTGGAGAGTATTTGAAGTTATTTATAATGTAGAGAGAGAGAGAGAGACTCGGGACTCACGCGTTGCAGTAGGGTTTCTTATCATAGCCTTTGTAGTTCTTCATGTTCAGCGTCATCTTGCAAACTTCGCAGTGGAAACATCCTTTGTGCCAGTTCTGAAAACACACAGATTCACACTCGAATCAATAGATTCAAATGCTTCCATAGTTCAGTGATACCCTCGTGGAACCATTAAAGCCCAGTAAGCATGCTAGTAGTAGTAGTAGTAGTATTTATGTATTGTCATTGTCAAGAACAATGAAATTACGCTGGTGAAAGATGTCATCTACAGAGATGTACAGGAAATTGGTGAACTGGAAGTATATAAATGGTAAATGGCCTGTATTTGTATAGCGCTTTACTAGTCCCTAAAGACCCCAAAGCGCTTTACACAACCAGTCATCCACCCATTCACACACTGGTGATGGCAGCTACATTGTAGCCACAGCCACCCTGGGGCACATTGACAGAGGCGAGGCTGCCGGACACTGGCACCACCAGTAGGCAAAGGGTGAAGTGAAGTGTCTCGCCCAAGGACACAACGACCGAGACTGTCCAAGCCGGGGCTCGAACCAGCAACCTTCCGATTACAAGGCGAACTCCCAACTCTTGAGCCACAATCGCCGAAGTATATCAGAATAATTACTTTATGATGATGTGGCCCGTTTGTCATTTAGTGTGTTTTCATCCCCTCAGAAGAAAAACTGAGGTTTGAACTGATCTGTGTTTGTGCAGAATTAGTTTGGAGTTTGTGTCTGAAATCTCTGCGACCTTTTCATGGAGACGTTTTCAAGCTTCATTCTGTGGTTTTCCTCATTGAACTTCCTGGTTAGTACAGTAATGGCTATGATGCATTAATGGTACAAACGATGGCTACAGCCATCACCCATTGTTTTATGAAGTCACATGAAACCTCAAACACCACATTTTGCCTGTCTTGGTATTTTGAAACTGGACGTGAAGACGCAGTTGTGGATCATGTTTCTGTCTGAAACTTGAAAATGACTAAATCAACTATATTTTTCATTCACTGTGACATGACACGAGCCACCGAACCTGTAAACTCACCTGTAAGGTTGTTACAGAGGTCAGGGCATTGATTTCAGAACCACAGTTTTCACCCTCCCTGTGGGCGTTAAGAATGCAGGTCTAAGGCACTTCCACATTGCCTTCCCTTTGTGTTAAATCAGAGCCCGATTGATGTTGAATTTATAGGACCAGTGCAGATATTTGTGCATTTAAAAATAAGATCCATCTACGTCTTTCAGAGACACCAAACATAAAGAGATTTACATAACATTTGTTATGTGAGGTTATTTATGAGTCTTTCTGTCACAGCAAGTCATGGACGCTACTTTCCTGCCCAACTCTGTAAGGATCAGCTGGCTGTTGTGTTGGTAGCAGCCCACTCATGCATGTTTCCAGTTGGGATGTTGCACAAGCATATGCAGACAACTTCTGGTTCTCCCATCTCTTGCTTACTTTTCAATTTTAATGTATGACGTATTATAAAACGTAGATACCAATATAATTGTCAGATAGCTAACATCGGCCCCACCAGTATATCGCTCAGGCTCTACTAATATCTGTGGTTAGTTGCTTGTAGGAAGTTCTGCTCATGTAATAAGACGTGGTTAAAGGCAGATGTTAGGCATGGGTAGGGATGCATTTGCCTATTTATTTGCTTATTTAAATGTGGAAATGCATATCAGCTCAGCTTGAGTGCCTGAAGTCCTTCTCGCTCACAGGTGAGCATCACACTTGAGTCACTTTGTTTCTAGATTCAGTCTGTTTTTGTAGCTCTTTACCAAATTTCTTTTAAAAAAAAGTTGCTAATCAACAGGCTTGATCTCGGCTTCTAGCACTGCTCTGTTTGATCACACAGTGAGAGAGCAGCTAGTGACCACAGCTATGCATAAAAGACAGATGCAGCTATGATAATGTCACCCAAACATTTGCAGTGTCCAGTTTTTAAAGTCTTAAGTTGAGCATTTTGGTCATCATCAGCAGCTTAGCTTTTTGAAACCAGTCAGTGACAGGACAGATCCACCCTAAAGCTCTCCACCCTTCTTTCTTCTGCTTCTGGATTCTGATGAAGTTTAATATACAAACTAAGCATCATAATGTATTAAATAACACTGAAAACTGAGTCCTCTGGGAAGTGTTTACTGTGGTCACG